GGGGTTCGACGCCGTCCCGACGGCGCCGCGCAGGCGGCCCGGGGGCATCATCGACACGACGGAGGTCACGCGGAAGAAGGCGTCGCTGCCGACGGACATGGCCCACCCCATGCCCACGTCCGGCGACTTTTTGAAGAAGCGCTTCATGGTCAACAACTACATCCTGCTCGAGGCCGTCGGCACGGGCTCCTACGCGGAGGTGCGGCTCGCGAAGGAGAAGCGCACGGACGCGCTCTACGCGGTCAAGGTCATCAACAAGGACGTGCTCCGGCGCAAGCTGACGCACCCGAGCGCGGCCCTCGCCGGGAACGGCGCGTCGGACACGATGCTCGACGACGTCAAGCGCGAGATCGCGATCATGAAGAAGCTGAGCCACCCGCACGTGCTCCGGCTCTTCGAGGTCATGGACGACCCCAAGGTGAACAAGCTCTACCTCGTGCTCGAGTACATGAAGCGGGGCGACCTCATGCAGCTCCTCCGCGGCGACGCGAAGAGCTACGAGTGCGACGCGATGAGCGAGCGCGCGCTCTGGCACGTCTTCCGCCAGGTCGCGTGCGGCCTCGAGTACCTCCACCTCCAGAACATCGTCCACGGCGACATCAAGCCCCAGAACCTGCTCGTCGGCGAGGACGGCATCGTGAAGATCGCCGACTTTGGCATCTCGAAGATGCTCGCGGGCGACGGCGCGCGCGAGGCGCTCCTCGAGACCGCGGGCACCAGGGCAGCAAAAGGGTGCGAAATTCCCAACTTCAAAGGCTCATATCTCGGCCGATTTCCACTCGTTTTGGCTGATTTTTGGACGAGTGATCATCTCTCGGACCGGCCTCGACGCGTGGATGCTTTATCCGGAACGCGCGGGCGCAAAATACTCACGTTGAAGCGACGTTGAATCACCCTTTTGCTGCCCAGGCGGGCACGCCCGCGTTCATGTGCCCCGAGATCTGCGGCGGCGAGCCCTACGACGGCCCGAGCGCGGACGTCTGGGCGCTGGGCGCGACCATGTTCATGCTGCGGGCGGGCCGGCCGCCCTTCGTCGCGGACAAGGTCGTCCAGCTCTACCACCGGATCATCCACGACTCCCTCGAGCTGCCCCGGGACCTCGACGGCGCGCTCGCGCGGCTGCTGGGGCGCATGCTCGAGAAGGCGCCGGGCCGGCGGGCGACGTTGGGCCAGGTGCTCGGGGACGCGTGGCTCAAGGCCGTGCCGCGGCCGCGGCCGCCCGCGGAGCGGCCGCGGCCGAGCTCGCGCGGCGCGACGGCCGGCGCGCGCGCGCTCGCGGACTTCGACGACGCCGCGGCGTCGCGGCCCTTCCCGGCCCAGCGCTACGACAAGATCACCATCTCGGCGGCCGACGTCGGCTCGGCCCTCGGGGGCGTCGACGCGGCGCGGCCGCCGCGGCGGACGCTCGGCGGCGCCGCCGTCGGCGCGCGGCAGGCGGCCTTCATGAAGAAGCACTCCAAGCCCCTCATGGTGCCCCGGCCGCCCCCGGGCGGCGACGACGACGACTCCGGCGACGACGACGACGGCGGCGACCGCGCGGAGGTCGTCGCCGACGGCGGCGACCTCGGCCTCGCGCCGCGCGGCGCGCCCGAGGACGCGGCGCCGCCCGCGGACCGGCGGCGCCTCGGCCTCCGCCTCAAGGCGCCCGACGGCCTGCGCAACCCGGCGGCGCGCATCTGCGCCGCCTGGCACAGCCGGCGGGGCCAGCGGCCGACGCAGGAGGACCGCGTGACCGTGATCCCCAGGGCAGGAAAAGAGAGCGAACTTCCCAACTTCAAAGGCTCCGATCTCGGCCGTTTTCTACTCGTTTCGGCTGATTTTTGGACGAGCGATCATCTCTCGGAACGGTCTCGAAGCATGGATGCTTTTTTCGGAACGCGCGCGCGCGGAACACTCACGTTGAAGCGAACGTGAATCACTCGTTTCCTGCCCAGGTGATCCCGGACCTCGGCGCGCTCCCGGGCCTGCCGCGGCCCGAGCGCTACGGCGGCTACGCCTACATGGCCATCTTCGACGGCCACGACGGCGACGCCTGCGCGTCCTTCCTCCAGCACGAGCTCCACGGCCACCTCTGCCGCCAGGCCCAGTTCTTCGGCGACGCACGCGCGGCCGTCGCGCGCGCGTTCCGCGAGGCCGACGACGAGGCCTGCGCGCGGCTCCGGGCCGACGACGACGCGTCGGGGTCGACGGCCGTCGTCGCGCTCTTCGACGGCGGGAGCAACAAGCTCCTCGTCGCGCACTGCGGCGACTCGCGCGCGGTGCTCTCCGTGTCGGGGGGCTGCGCCTTACCGCTCACGCAGGACCACCGGCTCACGCGGCCCGACGAGCTCGCGCGCATCCGCGCCGCCGGGGGGCTCGTCGTCAACCATCGGCTCAACGGGTCCCTCGCCGTGTCGCGGTCCTTCGGCGACGTGCTCCACAAGGACGCCGCGACGTGCCCGACGCTCACGGCCGCGCCCGAGGTCGCGATCCGCGCGCTCGACGACGAGGACGAGTTCGTCGTCGTCGGCTGCGACGGCCTCTGGGACACGCTCTCCATGCAGACCGTGACGAACTTCGTCCGCGCGGAGCTCCAGCGGCACCGCGACCTCCAGCGGGCGGCCAAGGCCCTCACGGAGGAGGCCATCGCCCGGGGGTCCGTCGACAACGTCTCCGTCATCATCGTCGCCCTCCACCAGGGCCCGGGCAGCCCCAAGCACGCGCAGGGGCCCGCGTAACACGGCCGCGCCACCGGGTGCGCGGGGGGGGGGGCGGGTGCGCGCGGCGTCGTCGACTTCAATAATGTCTCTCGACGGAGAGGTGCCGCAAAGGAGAGCCGCCGAGCGTGTGGCAGCCACTAGGAAAAAAAAAAAAAAAGTCGCCTACGATGTCCGTGGCCAAGGAGATCAGCCAGGCCGAGGCCGACGCGACGTGGGAGCAGCTCGGGGCCGTGCCGCGGGACCAGCTCGAGGTCGCCATCCAGCGCACCCAGGAGCTCGGCGCGACGGCCTTCAAGGCCAAGGACTACAAGAAGGCCTACGAGTACTACAACACGGTCGTCACGGGCACGGAGTACCTCCAGCAGACGGGGCCCAGTCCCAACGACAGCACCTACCTCGTCAACGCCCTGAGCAACCGGTCCGCGTGCAAGCTCGGCCTCGGCGACGCCGCGGGCGCGTTCAAGGACGCGCGCGAGCCCGGCGTCCCGCGGCGCGCGCCGCGACGACAATCGCCGCGCCTCGCCGCGACGACCCGCCGCCGCGCCTCGCCCGGCGACCCATACACGCGCCCCGCAGGTCCGAGTGCGTGCGCCTGCGGCCCAAGTGGCAGAAGGCCTGGTACCGCTTCGGCCGCGCGCTCTACGACCAGGGCAAGGTCGCCGAGGCCGAGGCGGCGTTCGCCGAGGGCATCCAGCTCGACCTCGGCAACGGCGAGATGCTGCGGTGGCGCGCCAAGTGCCGCAAGCGCCTGGACGAGCTGCGCGTCGACGCGATGAAGAAGAAGCGCTACGCGACGGACTACTCCAAGTTCGCGGCCGTCGAGGCCGAGGCGGACATCCCCGACGAGGACGCGAACACGAGTTACCGGCAGACGGACGCGCCCGTCGTCGACACCGTCGAGGAGATGCACGACCTCATGAACAAGAAGCAGCAGGCGCAGCTCGACGCGCAGGCGCCGACGGACATCTACTTCCGGTCCGACATGATCTTCCTGCCCCAGGCCGAGTCGCCCGCGGAGCTCCAGGAGGAGGGCGCGTTCGCCGCCATGGCCGCGTACCTCGAGCAGAGCACGTCGCTCTACATGCCCATGCGCGCGGTGCTCTCGCTGCACCAGCCCCACCTGCCCATGTACGTGCGCTGCATCAACTTCGTCGCCGACGCGCTCCGGGCGCTGGACCTCAAGGGCCACTGGGTCCACATCGGCGTCGGCAGCGGCGTGCCCATCCTCGCGACGGCGTCGCTGCCCCGCGACGTCGCGGACCGCGTGACGGCGCTCACGGCGCACGGGTCGCCGTTCCTCGACACGATGGCCGCGCACCTGCTGCACCGCCACGGCTGGCGGGACCGCGTCGAGCTCGTGCGCAAGCCCGTGGAGCAGGTGCTCGTCGACGAGTCGCAGGGCACGAAGCTCGAGGAGCTGCGCCGCGCGGAGGAGCCCGAGGCGCTCCGGAAGCCCGCGCTCGTCCTCGTCGTGGACCCGGACCTCTTCGACGAGGGCCTCCTCGGGCTCCGCGTGCTCCCCTACGTGCGCCACGCGCGGCGCGCGCTCTGCATCCCGACGCCGCTCGTCGTGCCCGCGCGCGCGCGCGTCTTCGCGATGCCCGTCGCCGTCACGATCCCAAAAGCCTGCGGCTTCGACCTCGGCGAGATGGACGAGTACCGGTGGGGCCCCTGGTACGAGGAGTTCGACGTCGCCGGCTGCATCCAGAAGGAGAACGGCGGCGTCACGTTCCTCGGCGACGCCGTCGAGGTCTTCGACTTCGACTTCGGCGCGGACGACATCGACGACGCGCTGCCCGTGCAGGCGAAGAAGAAGCTCGAGTTCGCGGCCAAGGCCGACGCGACCTTCAACGGCGTCGTCTTCTGGTTCCAGCTCCAGATGGTCCAGGAGGGCTTCGACGAGTCCTACGGCAACGCGCCGGACCTCGAGGGCACGGGCGGGCCGCGGCCCGCGGGCGCGCTGAACCAGGCGCTCCAGTGGGTCGACCCCGTCAAGGTCAAGCGGGGGCAGACCATCCGGCTCAACGCGTCGCACAACTCGACGCGCATCCGCTTCGAGGTGCTCGCGCCCGAGCGGCTCCTGCCCGCGGTGCACCGCCACGCGATCAGCCGCTGGCACTTCGAGATGGTCGCCGACGAGACGCGGAACCGCGCCTTCTACGACGGCATCATCGGCGCCGTCGAGGAGATCAAGCGGGGCAAGCTCATGGTCCCGTCGCCGAAGGCCGGCCGCCGCGCGCCGACGTGCGAGGTCGTCGACTTTGGCACGGGCAGCGGCCTCCTGGCCCTCATGTCCGTGCGCGCGGGCGCGACCAAGGTCACGGGCTTCGACAACCAGGGCCACGTCGTCAACGTGGCCCGCAAGCTCATGAAGCACCACGGCTACGAGAAGCAGGTCCGCATCATCCGCAAGGACTGCCGCCAGGTCGTCATGGGCAAGGACATGGCGAACCGGGCCGACCTGTTGGTCATGGAGCTCTTTGATTACGGCTTCCTCGGCGAGGGCTGCCTCCACTTCGTCCACTTCGCGTGGAACAACGTGCTCAAGGAGGACGCGCTCATCCTCCCGCGCGGCGGCCGCATCCTCGCGATGCTCGTGCAGCTGCTGCCCGACGACGTCGAGGGCTTCGACCTGAGCCCCTGGGCCGTCTTCCGCTTCCAGAGCGACTACTACGGCATCGACCTGCGGAACCAGCCGCACGTGCGCCTCTCGGAGCCCTTCGAGGTCTTCGACTTCGACTTCTCGCGCGAGAACTGGCTCAACACGCCGCCGGAGGCCGGGGGCGAGTGGCACGACGACGTCAAGATCGTCGCCGACGGCAAGCTCAACGCCGTCGTCTTCTGGCACGAGATCTACGTCTGGGGCGACGTGACGATCCCGACGGGCCCCGACGACCCGCGGACGTGCTGGTACCAGGCCTGCCAGCAGGTCGAGGAGCTGACGCTGAAGAAGGACGCGCACCTGCCCGTGCGCGCGACGCACCAGGGCTCGCGCGTGACCTTCGGCGTGGACCGCGACGGCCTCAAGGACGCGTACGACGACATGCGCACGGAGACGCCGCTCTACGACCCCCTCTGGCTCCAGATCCACAACCGCCTCGTGGAGCAGAGCGGCAAGCTCGAGAAGACCATGGCCTTCAACTCCGAGGCCCGCCAGCAGGCGACGGACGCCCTCGTCTCCATCGCCGTGGACCCGGCGCGCTTCGGCCGCGCCGGCCGCTACATCGAGGGCTCCAAGGCCTGCCAGTTCTGCTGGTCCTTCTTCATGGGCTGAGGGCCGCGCCGTTTTTGAATCGCGATTTTGTAATGCGGGCGGGTAAAACTTACTCCCGGGCCGGGTGCTCTTCGGCGACCACCAGGCTCGGCGCGCCTCGGTCCGCGGCCTTGTGCCCGGACGGGGCGCCGGCGGCGCCCGCTCGGCTCGGCGCGCCTCGGTCCGCGGCCTTGTGCCCGGACGGGGCGCGGCGGCGCCTAGCGCGCGGACCGGCGCGACGCGCCGAGGTCGCGGGTGAGGCGGCGGCGGATGCGAATCACCGCGCAGTCGCGGCCGTCCTGCTCCTCGAACTCCTCCGCCGGCGCGAGGTCCGCCCGGGCCGCGAAGACGAGCGCGTCGCCCGGGTCGAGGCGGCGCACGGTCGAGAAGCCGTCCTTGGGGATCGCGAGCTTGGACGCGAGGTAGGCGTACCAGTCCGAGGAGTGGAAGGCGTGGAGCACGGCGACGCTCGCGAGCTCGAGGATCTCGGGCGGGAGCGTGAGGGGCGACTGCGTGGAGACGACGACGCGGAGCGCCTCGTGGCGCATGACGCGGACGGCGTCGACGACCGCGGACGCGAAGCCCGAGTCGCCCGAGAGGTAGCGGTGCGCCTCGTCGAGGACGACGAGCTTGCCCGCGTCGACGTCGCAGGCGCGGAACTGCTCGAGGAGGACCTGGAAGATGCCGTTCGCGTCCGCGGCGCTCAGGAGCGGGTCCGTGAGGTCCGCGACGATGAGCGCGCCCGAGCCGACGAGCTTCGCGAGCGGCGCGTGCTTCGCCGCGAGGCCGTTGTCCGCGTTGCGCGTCGCCTCGACGAGCACGGATTCGAGGAGCTGGAGCCGCTGCTTGAGCGGGCCCGCCTGCGTGCCCGAGCTGCAGAGGCCGTCGATCTCCGCGGAGAAGTCGTCAAAGTCCGGGAGCCGGCCCTGCTGCTGGTAGCGCCGGAGGAGGTCGAGGGCCACGGAGACGTAGAGCTGCTGGCTCTTCTCGTCGTCGAGGCGCATGATCGCGCGGAGGTGCGCCGCGCCGAGGCTCGCCCAGTTGAAGAGCAGCGGGTGGACCTCGACGTCCGCGCCCGCGTAGTAGGCGACGCGCTGCTTGTAGAAGGACGGCGAGACGAGGACGACGGGGCGCACGCGGTGGGGCGTCGCGAGCTCGCGCGCGGGCCGGAAGAGGCCCGCGAGCTCGCACGCGTCCTGCGCGCTCTTGCCGAAGTGGAGCGCGAGGACCGCCATGGGCTTGGCGAGGCGGACGAGCGGCCGATCCGCCGGCTCGTCCACGGGCATGAGGCAGGACTCGACGATCGTCGCGACCGTGTGCGACTTGCCGCTGCCCTGCACGCCGAGCGCGACGACGCAGAACGGGTCCGCGAGGTTCAGGAAGACGTGCGCCCCGGGGATCGCGCGCCCGAAGAGCGCCGTCTCCGCGCCGGGGTCCCGCGCCCCGGCGCCGACGAGCGTCGCCCGGCGGAGGCACCGCCGCGACGCCGCCTCGCGCGAGGCCTCGGCCTCGAGGCCGTAGAAAAACTCCCCCAGGTCGACCTCGTCGTCTCCCGGGGCGGGCACCTTCGCCTCGTCGAGCCGGGCCGCGAGCGTGCGCGAGCCCATCTTCGTGCACTCGACGGTGCGGCTCCGGAGGTCCGCGGGCGGCCGCGCGGCGGCGGCCTGCCGCGGCGGCGGCTGCGCGGCGACCTGCGTCGGCGGCCGCGCGGCCACCGCGGCCTTCTTCGGCCGCGCTGCGGCGACCGGCCGCGACGGTCGCGGCGCGACCGCGTAAATATCGAGACACAGGTGGCCTCTGGATTCGTCGTAGCGCAGGATATCCGGAAACTCCCCGATGAAACCCTTGACCTTCCCGAAGTCCTTTATGATCGCCTTTGCGTGAGGATTCCGCTCGTAAAACGTGTTCATAAATGTCGCAGACTTCCCCTCGGAGCCGACGAACTTCGCGAGCGCAACTGCGAGATCCTTGGGCGTCTTGGGGCTCATGGTTGTGGTTGATGTGTACCTACGACACCCGCGATAGCCTACGCGCGCGTCCCCGCTCGACGCCGCGCGCAACTCGATGGGTCGTGGTCACGAAGAAACTCGCCTAAAACGATCGGCTGGACATACGCCCAGGAACGCCTCCAGGAGTCCTCCCCAGTGCTCCGGTTCGGCGGTATCCGTGCCTACGAACCCCTACTCTCGTCTACCCCGAGGGACGCTTCGGCAACAGCCCCTGTGGGGTCGCCGCGATGTCGCAGGCAGAGGCCCTGGAGGTCGGCCATGGACCGCCCGCGCGCCGCGGCCGCGAAGGCCGCCGCCGCCTCGGGCGCGTCGTCGAAGAAGCGCTCGAAGAGGCGCCGGGCCTGGTCCTCGTCGGACGCGCCGAGGAAGAAGGACCGGTCGCACCGGCCCGGCCGGAGGAGCGCGCCGTCGAGGGCGTCGACGCGATTCGTCGTGATGAACAGGATGCGGCCGTCCGCCGCCGCGCCGACGCCGTCTACGGCGTTGAGGAGCTCGCTGAGGCTCGGCCCGTCCGCGGCCGCCACCTTCTCGGGCGCGGCGGCCCGCGCGGCGCCTACCACATGCGTCGGTCACGATCGTTCGTCGGTTTCCCCGTCGAAGTCTCTCGAAAGTCGTCGCGACCGCGGGACGCCGCGCGGCGCCGAGCGAGAAGCACGCGTCCGCGTCCTCGACGGCGACGAGCGCGGCCGGCGGCGCCGTGGAGATGGCGTCGGAGAGCGTCGGCCCGCCGCGGACGAAGCGGCCGAGGGGCAGCGCGCACAGGGGCAGCCGAACTCGGACGCGACGGCGTGGACGAGCGCGCTCTTGCCCGAGCCCGGCGGGCCGTGGAGGCAGTAGCCGCGCCGGTGGGGCACGCAGCGCTCGTTGTACCAGGACCTGCCAGGCGACGATGTCTCGTGGTTTTCCCGCCCGAACTCTCTCGAACGTCGTCGCGGCCGCGGGACGCCGACCGTTGGACTCGTCGTCGATGAAGCGCCGGACGTCGCCGAGGATCTCCTCCGCGAGCCCCGCCCGGAGCACGAGCGTCTCCGCGGGCCGCTTCCGCGACAGCGACGCGAGGGCCCAGGCCTTGCCCGTCCACTCGTAGTGCTCGACGTGGCGCCGGTCCGCGTCCGCGGCCTCCCGGAGCGCCTCGCGGCAGAGCCTCGCGACGACGTCCGGCGCCGCCGCGCCGCGGAGCGCGGCGACGCGCAGCGTCTGGGGCGCGAGGCCGCTCCGCGCGGTCGCGCGCGCCGCGCGCCGCGCGGGCGACGCCCGCATGTCGCCGATGAGCGCGCGCAGGTTCGACGCGTCCGTGCCGCTGAGGCTGCCGCCGCCCTCGAGCGTGACCCAGAGCGTCGCGCCGCCGAAGGCGAACCTCGCCGACTCGAGCTCGCCGAACAGCGGCAGCAGGCACACGTCGTCGCGGGGCCGGAACGACGCCGGCGCGCGCGGGCCGTTCGGTTTGCCGCTCGCGCGCGGCTCGGCCGCGACCGCGCGGAAGCTGCCCGAGCTCGCGAGCACGCGCCGCCTCTCGAGCCAGCGCACGAGCGCCTTGAAGAGCCGCGGGTCCTCGGTCTCGGAGACCTCGACGGACGCGAAGAGGCGGCGCCGGAACCGCGCGCGGACCTCCGACGAGCACCAGGCGGCGAGCGACCGGAGGCCCACGGCCGCGACGGACGCGGCGGTGCCGGCGACCATCCACCACGCCCCGCCCGGCGCGGCCCTCGGGGCAGCCTCGGGCTGCCGCGGCGAGCGCCAGCGCCTTCGAGGCTGCGGCGGCCCGCGCTGCCACCACGCCGCTGGCCGCGCCGCAGCGGCGCCCCTCGGGGCAGCCTCGGGCTGCCGCGGCGAGCGCCAGCGCCTTCGAGGCTGCGGCGGCCCGCGCTGCCACCACGCCGCTGGCCGCGCCGCAGCGGCGCTGCTGGCCCACCCCCAGCTTGTCGCAGGACGCACATTGCAGGCCGCGAGCAACGCGAGGATGGGTGCCATGCCGAAGCTCGAAGGCGCTTCGGCAACCTCAAAAATGCACGTTTACCAGCTCCAGCGACTTCGGCGGCGAAGCTCGACCACCTGACGCCTACACGATGATGCGCTGCGTCGGCCTCGTGGCCGCCGCGGCCTACGTCGCCAACGCCCTCGTGGCGCCGCCGCGGGCCGTGCGACGGCTATCGGGCGCCCTGAACGTCCTCGGGGAGCGGACGCTGTCCGAGGAGAAGGTCCAGGGCCTCGACGGCGTCAACGCGATGAAACTCGCGTCGGACCACCTGCGCGCCGCCGCGTCCCCCCGCGCGACACCCCCCCCCCGCGCCCGCCGCGCGGCCCGCGCCCGCGCCCCCGCCGGGGGGGCGCGCCTTCGCGCGCCGCGCGCGCGCGCGCGCCGCCGGCCGCGCGCGGAAGAAACCGGTCCGACCGCGCAGGCGCCACCCGCTCGTCGAGGACCTCGGGGACCTCGAGACGATCTCCATCAGCCACGACAGCTACAACCTGCTCAAGTTCCACGGGTCCTACCAGCAGGACGACCGGGAGAAGCGGAAGAAGGGCGCAGAGAAGGCGTGGCAATTCATGTTGCGCCTCAAGGTGCCCGGCGGCGAGGTGCCCGGCCCGCTCTTCAAGGTCCTCGACGACCTCTGCATGGACTACGGCCAGCAGGACCTGCGCATGACGACGCGCCAGGCCTTCCAGATGCACGGCATCTCCAAGGCCAACCTCAAGCACGTCATCCGCACGATCATGGAGGCGGGGTCGACGACGATCGGCGGCTGCGGCGACATCAACCGCAACGTCATGCTCCCGCCGGCGCCCATCGACGACCCGAAGCGGCCCTGGTACAAGGAGGCGCGGCGCGTCGGCGCCATCTGCGCGGAGCTCTTCGTGCCGCAGACCGAGGCGTTCTCCGAGATCTGGTGCGACGGCGAGAAGCTCGCGTCCGTGCAGTACTGGAAGCGCCACATGCTCGACGACGTGCCCTCCGTCGCCGCCTTCGACCAGGCCGCCGAGCAGGCCTGCGACGACCGGGTCCAGGGCTGGATGCGGAGCGTCGACGGCAACGGCATCAACCTCGACCATCCCGTCGAGCCCATCTACGGCGACACGTACCTGCCGCGCAAGTTCAAGATCGGCGTCACCGTCGAGGGCGACAACTCCATCGACGTCTACATCAACGATATCGGCATCATCGTCCTCGAGGACGGGTCCGGCTACAACGTCGCCGTCGGCGGCGGGCTCGGCCGCACGCACGGCAAGGAGACGACGTTCGCGCGCGCGGCCCACGAGATGTGCTTCGTGCCCGAGGAGCAGCTCGTGCTCGTGCTCAAGGCCATCGTCGCCGCCCAGCGGGACCACGGCAACCGCGAGGTCCGCGCGAACGCGCGGCTCAAGTACCTCGTGCACACGCTCGGCGAGGCCAACTTCAAGTCCCTCGTCGAGTCCTACCTCGGCTTCGAGCTCGCGGACCCCAAGCCGAGCAAGCCCTGGCGCTACAGCGACTGGATGGGCTGGCACGACGCCGGCGACGGGTCCCTCTTCGTCGGCATCAACGTCGACCAGGGCCGCATCCGCGACTTCGCGACGCCGCAGACCGCGGGCGCGAAGCCCCAGCTGCGCACCTTCCTCCGCGAGGCCGTGGATTTGTACGGCGTCGACATCATCCTGAGCCCGACGCAGTCCATGATCCTCCAGAACGTGAAGCCGGGCGACAAGGCGGCGATCGACGCGTTGATGGCGAAGCACGACGTGCTGCCCATCGAGGCCGTGGACCCGCTCCAGCGCCTCTCCATGGCCTGCCCGGCGCTGCCCCTCTGCGGCCTCGCGGTCACGGAGGCCGAGCGCTACATGCCGAAGATGATCGAGCGCGTCCGCAACGTGCTCGACCACGTCGGCCTCCACGACGACGAGATCATGATGCGCATGACGGGCTGCCCCAACGGCTGCGCGCGGCCCTACATGGCCGAGCTCGCCTTCGTCGGCGACGGCAAGGCGTCCTACCAGCTCTACGTCGGCGGCTCGCCCGTGCTCACGCGCGTCGGCTTCGAGTACAAGGAGCGGTGCAAGGTGAAGACGATGGAGCACTCGCTCGAGCCCCTCTTCGCCATGTGGCGCGACCAGCGCGTCGACGAGGCCGAGGCCTTCGGCGACTTCGCCCAGCGCGTCGGCCAGCCCGCGCTCGCGGCCTTCGCGGCGGACTACGCCTGCACGTCCGAGATCAACGCGGACCTCGCCAAGTCCATCAACACGGGCAAGTAGGCGCGGACGGCGGGGCGCCGCGCGGCCGCCCGCCGCCGGACCGGAGCGTCCGCCGGCGCGCGGCCC